ACACACACACACACACACACGCGTGCGCACACACACACACACACACACACACACACACACACACAACAACAACAACAACAACAACAACAACAACAATAACAAGTATTCGAACACATTTCGCCCGTACAGGAGGTAAAAGACCAGTCAACGAAGAGCAGTGCAAGACAAGGGGTTGTATGTTCGAACCCAACCCATCTGCAGGGGAGCCCGGCTGTTACTACAAGGAAGGCCAGTACAGTCTGAAAGTCCAGCAGGTGAGAGGGAAGGTGGCCGGTCGGAGTTCGAGTCTTAGTTTAGTTTTAGCATTAGTTTTAGTTTTAATAGAGGTTTTACGGCGCTCGCAACTGCAAGGTCATATGAGCGCCAGAAGATTAGAGCTGTTACAAGAGAGTAACAAACACAAAAAAGAAGAAGGGGAGATGGAGACGATAGATGTTTGATAGGGAAAGAAGAAGCAAACCACAACAGCTTTCGAAAGAGTTTTACTGCATTTGAAACACAATAAGGTCGTGTAAGTGCCAAAGATTATAACCGTTACCAAAGAATAAGATGCAAATTAAAGAAGGAAGATAGATACAAGCGATAGATGTTTGATGAGAGAGATGGAGCAGACCACACCAGAGCACCCGCCAACCACCAAGTTTGATTCTTAGTCTTGAGAAGTGGTAGTCAGGATTTCAACAGAAAGAAAAGTACATCGGCCGTAAAAAAATAATCATTCACCCCTGATTACCGATATACACTCGTGTAATAGAACGTTTGAGAGAGGGACTTTTCTTATTTTTTAATGTTGGTGTTTTTACGCTCCCATCGACACGTTTAGCTCATTTAGGAGACGGGCGTCTGACCTTGCCTGTCAGGGCAAACCCAGGCTGAGTAGGGTACAACATTCCAGCAGAATGACCGAGATACTCGATACCCCCCCTCCTCCAACTCCCCCACCCGGGAATCGAACTCGGGTTTCCTGAGTGCGACAACGAATCCCCTAACCGATACACCACAGACGCGGGCTCTCGTGGCCAAGAGGTTAAGGTGTTCGCCTCTCATTCAAAGGTTCGGGGTTCGAATCCGTGTAGCGATGGAAAAATTTCCTTCTCTAAAACTGTCTCCTTTCCTGCTTTCGTCTCCGCTTTCTGCCCCCACCCCCTCACCTCCTTTGCCCCTCTGGGTTCCTAACTCTTTCTGCAGCCTGTCTACTGGTTCTCCTAGGCTCCTTCTTACTGCTGTCTTTCAGCCACACCCCTGATCTTAAGGTAGGTAAGATCTACACCTTGTCTTCTCGGACAAGGGCAAAAAATCATGGAGGTCCTGTGTGCAAGTTGCGCACGTTAAAGATCCCTGGGTGATCCAGAATCGATAAGAGTATGCTTCGGCCGCCACCCTGGCAAAATTCAAAATATCCTACCAGCTGAAAATGTATGGTGTGTCCCGCCCGCTCTTATGACCTTATTATACAGTTGCGAGCGCCGTAAAAAAAAAAAAAGAACAACTTACAAAAACTCCGACCACACACGGGGTTTGAGAGAGTTAGGGAGAAGGAGAGCCAGGTGCGGGCAGGAGTGTGTGTGTGTGTGGG